GTACCACTGTTAACTAAATAACACAGAAGTTTTAAACTAGATAATGTACCACTGTTAACTAAATAACACAGAAGTTTTAAACTAGATAATGTACCACTGTTAACTAAATAATACAGAAGTTTAACCTAGATAATGTACCACTGTTAACTAAATAATACAGAAATTTTACACTACATAATGTACCACTGTTAACTAAATAATACAGAAGTTTTAAACTAGATAATGTACCACTGTTAACTAAATAATACAGAAGTTTAAGCTAGATAATGTACGACTGTTAACTAAATAATACAAAAGTTTTAAAGTAGATAATGTACCACTGTTAACTAAATAATACAGAAGTTTTAAAGTAGATAATGTACCACTGTTAACTAAATAATACAAAAGTTTTAAACTAGATAATGTACGACTGTTAACTAAATAATACAAAAGTTTTAAAGTAGATAATGTACCACTGTTAACTAAATAACACAGAAGTTTTAAACTAGATAATGTAATGTATCACTGTTAACTAAATAATACAGAAGTTTTAAAGTAGATAATGTACCACTGTTAACTAAATAATACAGAAGTTTTAAAGTAGATAATGTACCACTGTTAACTAAATAATACAAAAGTTTTAAAGTAGATAATGTACGACTGTTAACTAAATAATACAGAAGTTTTAAACTAGATAATGTACCACTGTTAACTAAATAATACACAAGTTTTAAAGTAGATAATGTACCACTGTTAACTAAATAACACAAGTTTTAAACTAGATAATGTACCACTGTTAACTAAATAACACAGAAGTTCTAAACTAGATAATGTACCACCGTTAACTAAATAATACAGAAGTTTAAACTAGATAATGTACCACTGATAGGTAACTTACATGATGAATCTACTTCGTCTAGCCAAGACATAACATCTGGGTTGAGATCGGAGGACTCACTGAAATCTGTCAGCATTTTGGAAGAGGTACTAATACAATTTATGTGACTTCTCCAAGTTTTACTCTGTGTAGGTGTGTCTTCTCCATGAGAAAGAAATGTTGCAAATGTAGAATTACTAAAATTACTAACACCCATGATAACTTCCTCTGGTAACGATTTCAGAATCTCATCTAAATCACTTTCATCTTGGAAAAATAATTTATCTAAGTCCTCAGTTTCTACATGTTTTGTTAAATCAGTCTGTATAGCTTGTTTAATCTGTCCACTATAGGATGATGGGCAACTCTTACTGATTAAAGTATTTGGCTTATTAGATTGAGATCTGTCCTTTATCATCACTTCCTTAGTTACTTTCTGATAACATTCATTATTGGATACAAAGTGCTTCATCCCTAGTTTCTTGGAATCTGACAGATGATTACACTTTGGAGTTTTAATGTTTCTTTGAAAATACTGGTTCCTGCTCAGGATATTCCTTTTGCTTTGACACTCTCCACTTCTTACAGATGATCTGACATCACATGTGTCAAAAGATTTAAAACAATTGTTCTTTGATTGACCAATGACATCCTTAGAAGTTTCCCTAGGAAGAACTCTCACATATTGACCAGTTGGAAAGCCCAACTGCTGTACATCTGAAAGCAGCGTAGATTGACTGCTTATGAATCTTTTTGGTAGAACATTTAAAGGTCTTGTTTGTTTATTGTTTGACAAGTTGGCAAGTTCAACAACCAGTGGTCTTGACATCGTGGAATGAATGTCTGTAATTTGACCATTGGAAGATCTTGTGGTCTGAGTACAACCTGTTTGAACATTGCAAGACCTTGTGGACTGAATATGAGCTGTTTGAAGATTGGAAGATTCCATGGATTCAAGGCCTAAAAAGTCTAATGTTTGCACTTCAGAACATTTTATAAGATTAAGGTCATGATTTAAAGTCTGTACTGGCTCTTCATCCAAAGTAAAAGAAATCTGAGTTGCCTTCAAAAGAAGACTTTCATCTTCATCATCACCCCACAGTTGTTCAACAGAGTCATCACCATAATTCCTACACCTCTCAGATTGGAGATCTCTTGCTAGTGGTGCTTCTGTATCACTACAAACAATTGTTTCCTTTACTGAAGTGTTAGTCTTTTCATCACTGTAATAAAATTAAAAACATAAAAAGAATTAAACTAGCAGAAATGCTCATGTACTCTCTAAAAATGTTTTCAATACATTACAGAAAGTGAAAGAACGGAGTTTTATTAATCTCCACAATAAAGAAAAACACCATACACTGTGTGAGTTAGATAAATCAAAAGTGTACTTACAGGGAAGTGTTGGTTTCCACTTCTTCTTCTATCAAAAACATAAAAGGAAGAAACAATACGAAAAATTATGTAAAATGCTTGGATGGTTATAAAAAATAACATATATATGTATATATATAATTATTCTAAGGTAACTTTTATTTCAAGCAATGATGACAAGGTGCTATCAAGTACTTCAAATTTAGGTACCACAAATTATGTTCCGATATTCTTAAAGATTCAAGAGAAACTTTAAAACTCCAACAGTTTTGGAGGCATGGTAATAAAACTGTCTAACAAGTTAAATGATATAAACACAGTTGTATATTATGACACTAAAATACCAACTACAAATAGAAACTACCTGAAATTCAGCTTCTTTATCCATGACAACATGCATTATTTAAAACAATCAATACACCACTGACATTAGATCAGAATCTCTTCACTTACTGTAAAACAAACTTTTATTGGTAACTCCTTAAATTGAACAAAACTTAATAGCTAAATCTAACTTGAAAGCCAGATATCCTGCAATAAGTGTAATTAAGTCAAACCTCTATCAAGCTGTCTCCACAGTTAAAGTCAAATCTCCTGCACCATATTAACAACAGAAAGGAGTGTAAATAGCTCAAACCTTTATCAAACTGTCTCTACAATTAAAGTCAGGTCTCCAGCACCATACTAATAATAGAGAGGAGTGTAAGTACCTCAAGCTTTTATTAAACTGTCTCCACAATTAAAGTCAGGTATCCTGCACCATATTAACAACAGAAAGGTGTGTAAATAACTCAAACCTTTATCAAACTGTCTCCACATTTAAAGTCAGGTATCCTGCATCATATTAATAACAGAAAGGAGTGTAAATAACTCAAACCTTTATCAAGCTGTCTCCACAATTAAAGTCAGGTATCCTGCATCATATTAACAATAGAAAGAAGTGTAAATAACTCAAACCTTTATCAAACTGTCTGCACAACTAAAGTCAGGTATCCTGCACTATATTAACAATAGAAATGAGTGTGAATATCTCAAGTTTCTGTTAAGCTGTCTCCACAACTAAAGCATGACAGGTTACAGTTAATATTAATGGGTCTATAGAACCTGAGAGGATATACTTAACATTAATATTGATATCCTACCTGATGGTATATATACATAGTTAACACTGATATATTTATCCTACCTGGTGGTATACATAGCTAACACTGATATATTTGTCCTACCTGATGGTATACTTAGTTAACACTGATATGTATCTCCTACCTGATGGTATACTTTTAACATTCTTGGTAATCTGGTTGAGAAGAGCTTGAACACTTCCAAGTCCAGACAACCGAGAACTTGATCGTGACATGACCGTATTTTTTGGCGAGTTGCTGAAAAATACACAAGTTGTAAAGTATATGAACTACTTTTTATTGTGATCAACAAATTATTATGATATAATAAATGGCAATTAAAGAACAAGATTTGAAAAGAATGATTGGCATTATCTGATGATGTCTGTAAAATCTGTATCTCTTGCATTTGGCAAATCCAAATTCACTTATTCATTACTACACCTGTCTTCATAACTTTTTTAACATTTGTATTATTCTAACCAGATATTAGTCTTTCTATTTTCATTCACTTTGTTTTGTTAAGTAATGTTTCATGTGAAAAACATCTTTCAAGGTGTTTTGTTAAGTAATGTTTCATGTGATAAACATCTTTCAAGGTGTTTTGTTAAGTAATGTTTCATATGATAAACATCTGTCACGTTGTTTTGTTAAGTAATGTTTCATGTGATAAACATCTTTCAAGGTGTTTTGTTAAGTAATGTTTCATGTGATAAACATCTTTCACGTTGTTTTGTTAAGTAATGTTTCATATGATAAACATCTTTCACATTGTTTTATTAAGTAATGTTTCATATGATAAACATCTTTCACATTGTTTTGTTAAGTAATGTTCCATGTGATAAACATCTTTCAAGGTGTTTTGTTAAGTAATGTTTCATATGATAAACATCTTTCAAGGTGTTTTGTTAAGTAATGTTTCATGCGATAAACATCTTTCAAGGCCACTATTTGTGAAGTATCATAAACCATTGTTTGCCAACTTATTATTATATTAGCATAATGTGCTTCCATATTCAAGTAGAAAAAATATTTTTCCACAATTGTTTTTAAACATGATGACCTGCACATTTCTTAATTGGCAAATTAATTGTTAATGTTGACTATGTAGCCTCATACATATGCCACACTGATCTTCTTTAAATCAAATACATTTATAATTAAATGTTTTACTATCACCAATAAGGGTAATAGCATTTTTCAGTTCCCTATAAAACTTAAATAATCTGTAAACTTATCTGATTTTATAATAATTTTATTTAGTGGGGGAAAAAACAAACATGTTTACAAACATTGCAACTCAGTAAAACCATAATATATCTAATAAAAAGTAAAAACTTTGATATTTAAGAAAAGAACCATACATGAACAAGTTACTTTTATTAAGCTTTAATCAACCTCCACTCTGTGATGAAAACAAACCTTCTCCAAATAGTGTACATTTGTTGCTGTGTTAGAATTATAATAAAGTTCCCATTCTACCTGTATAAACTTACCTACCTTATCTCGAGTTATCTGATATTTTTTCATTGAAGTAAACTTCTACAGCTTTCAAACAGATATAATTTAACACACGGATACTTTCACAATTCACAAACAAATGGAACTGAAAGGAAAATTTGTGGAAACTATAAAATAACTTTTAAGCCTGTATTTTAACTTCACTAATACGATAGACTGATTCTTGCCCTATCTAATAATATTGTTACGACAGCGGAATTTCATGTGATGCTGGAAGCATGCACGCTGGAGTTTCTAGAAGGATCATGACTGTTCCTGGCAACTCTAGTCTTTTCTAGGCACCCTCTATTTTAGTATATAAGCCCGGCAAATAAAGCAAAGATTTAATTGCAGATAGATAGATATAGAGACAAATAATTGAGTCATGTGAGTGGTAGTGACTGTAAGTAAAGTGCGTGAATCGTTGTGAATTATAGCGTGTGTTTAAGTTCAAGTGACCATGGAAATTCTGTGCATTG